ATGGAGACACGATGATAAAATGTAACACAAAATGGTATAAATGTTCATTTGTCCCAGTGAGTGTCAGCCTCATCAATAATTTAGGATAGTCCAAATAAACTGTGGTGGTATATTAATGTACAATGTGCTATAAGAATGGTTCCTTTGTTTTTTTTAAAGCAAATTGCCCCTCAGGGACAATAAAGTTGATCTAATCTAATCCAATCCCATCTCATCTCATCTCATCTCATCTCATCTCATCTCATCTCATCTCATCTCATCATACAAGTTTGTCCAAATGACACCATACCAGATCGCTCAAGGCCTGGATTAACAACTAGTGCTGTTGACAAACGGGAAGCTATTCTACTATTTGCTGAAGACACAGATGACATATAACTTGGAGAAGTGGAGGTATGCACTTAAATGAAGAGGAAAGAAAGTCAGTCATAACTAGACAGAGTCTATGTGTGAATGAGAGAGAGATGCAGGTGGAACAGTGTGGCTACAAGAAGCAGAGGTCACAAAAGTGCAGGACTTCAAAGACTTAGGGTCCACTGTCCAGGTGTGGGAGTGTGATAAAGAGGAGTAAAATAGAGTCCAGGCAGAGTGGAGTGGATAGAGAAAAAGTTTCAGGAGAGATTTGACACAAAAGGGTGATAGCAAAAGGAAATCAAAGGAATTGTTTACATGAGAATAGTGAGACCAGCTATGTTGTGTAGTTTGGAGACAGAGACATGGACAAAAGAACATGAGACGGAACAGGAAGTGTCAGAGCTGAAGTATCTAGAGGTTCTCCTTGGGAGAGACAAGGATGGAGAAGATGAGGAATGAGATCTTCAGATCCAGCACAAGTTGAAGGACTGGCAGATAAAGTTACAGAGAACAGACTGATATGGTTTGGACGTGTCCAGAGGAGGGACAGTGGGTAAATTGGTAGAAGCTGCAGTTAGTGGACATGGAGATAGTTGAAGTGGGGACAGAGGACACAGAGGACATGGAGGAGGAAGACTCAGTGGAGACCCCTGAAGAGAAAACGGTCAAGAGTCAAAGATTGGACATGTTTTTGTTCACATTTATTAACTTCAAACTTCAGTATGTTTTCATAGATAATAAAGTGGCCACTGACTGAAAAAATACTTTAATTGCTGGATTCATGTTTGAAAAGAGAATAAAAAAAGTTCAAGAAAACAACAGCTTCTTAACCTTTTAACACTCTCTATTATAAATACAATCATGTTTGCATGTACTACACAGTTTACCAAATTCCCCACCAGACGCTGTGGATTAGAGGGATTATAGACTTCTAGTTGTTTTTGTTCTGGCTCTTTTCACACAAAGTGAACATGAGCATTTATGCCTGTTGTTTCCAACACAAACATAATTAGCCATCAGTTTGTTCTTTTTATTCTCAAAACAAGCTCATACCAAGTCCTCTTTCTTTGATCTTTACTCATACAGTCCTAACGAATGTATTTTCCAAAGGTATCACACTGTAGCTCAATCATTCTTAGTTTTTTTCTTACATGATTAGGTCAGCAGGTCTATGAAAGCTTCATTCGTTTTGTTTATAAGGATTGTAATTTAGTGACTAACTGCCTCAAGCATCACTATTTTAAACAACTGGCCTGTACTTGTTATCTCCAGTATTTTACTGAACTAAACTCATGAAATCTGCCTTTTATGTGACAAAGTCCTGACCCTACACTCTCAGTCTTGTATGTTGTGTAATGTCTGGTTGTTTTATTGTACTACTTGTGAGATGCCACTAGCTGGAGCCACATTCTTTGTGTGTGTGTGTGTTACACTTGTGGCCAAGAACTCTGATGTCTTTGTGAAAATGAGCTGAAGTAGTGTAATAAAGCACAGGTTATTCAATGAGAAAACAGAAACCAACTGAACAAAGGGTGTCATCTGCCATTGTTTGGTTAGCCATCAGTCTAGCCTGGATGAAAACTTTAGCCCTCATCATGTACTCCCTGCTTGTTGATTGATGTCACAGTTGATAAAACTACTGAGAATATTGGATAAAACATAATTTCAAAAATGATCAAATTATCCTTTTAAGTGTTTTGGAACTGAGGAACCAAGTACTATTTCAGAAGTGAGCTCTTTTTTAGGTTTTTCTTTTTTTAAATAAAATCATATTTTACAATATTTGATATGTAACGAATAGACAAAACTATTTGTAGTGATCAACTTACTGGCTTAATGTTAATGCTATGAAAGCAGAGCTGTCAAAAGTATTCACATTCATTACTTAAGTAGAAGTATACGTAGATACTGGGGTTTTAAAATACTTTTTTGGAAGTAGAAGTATCAAGTCAAGCTTTTTACTCAAGTAAAAGTATAAAAGTACTGGTTTTGAAACTACTTAAAGTATAAAAATAAAAGTAAAGAACACTTTAAAAAGCCATTCAGGATAAAAGCTTTTTTATTTGAAAATAGATATTTTTATATTTAGCAGCCAATCTGAAGACATTTAATTTTAAANTTAGCATCTAATCTGAAGACATTTAATTGTTAAAATACTTTAATCATTTGAACTAATTAATGAATAGTAACACATTTTAATTGTTTAATGTATAAAACCCTCACATTATACAAAATAGGAAAAGTCTAATAAATAAATAAATAAATATTGTTTTATTCTAGATCTTTTGAAGAAAAAAACATGTTGGACTGATCTCAAAAAGATTTTATTTATCCTGAAATTAAATCAGTTCGTTGCTGAAAATTTCAGAAAACACAACTTTAGCCAGGATCATCTTCATTGTAGGCTACATCTGCTACAGTGTGTCCTGCTGGAATGTGATGTGATTTGTGTCATACAGGTGTAATGCAGTGAGTTCAGTCCAATAGGATGTCAGATTGGTATTTATTTACATTTCGTATCCAACCACAATCAGATTCACTCTATCCATGGGCTCCATGTACCTGGACAGATTTCTGTTTCTGAACAATAAATAGATGGAATAAAAACAAGACAAAGTGAAATAGAAATGAAATACTATTTGTATTTTTAAAATGTAAGGAGTAGAAAGTACAGATAATTGAATTGAAATGTTAGAAGTAGAAGTAAAAAGTAGGCTGAAAAATAATTACTCCACTAAAGTATAAATAACCAAAATTTCTACTTAAGTAAAGTAACAAAGTATTTGTACTTAGTTACTTGACACCTCTGTATGAACGTTGGGCGATCTTGGAACTGCTTGTGTTTTTGTGCGTCTATATCTTCTCTTTTCTCTCTCCTGGCAAAATATGTCATGACTTAGCAGAGAGATTTTATTGAAATTCTCACTTTCGGAGTCAGCTCAGTTCAAGATGGCCGCCACAGCTGTTTGACCGTTAGTGAACTCAAAAATGTCTGGACTATGGTCATTTACGCCGATATCAAGATACAAATTGGTGTGGAGTAGTTAAGGCATCCCAAATCAACCCATTCTCACTCCCAATTTGTCACATATTGACGCTTTTCCAAGGTTCCCTCTGCGTCCGATTTTGACGGGTCGGGTACCCCCGTTGCGTCAGTTTTTGACGAGATGGGGCGAAATCCGTTGTCATAATTTCAGAAAGTGTAGAAAATGCACCAAAACAACCATCCTAAAGCCTAAAATTACCTTTATTCACTCTAGACATGCTGTCCCTGACCCTGGGACCTAAAATTAACCATTTTGAGAAATTGAAGGAAATTCATGTGACTGCATGTTCCAAAGCCTAAAATTACATAATATTCGCCCTAGACATCCTATCCTTGACCCCACTACCTAAAATTACCAATTAACCCTGATCCCTAATATTAACCATGGACCCCAAGTCAAAGACCCCTATATTTTGCATCCCAACATGTCAAAACTGGTTGCCGAGGGAACACAGAAATGCCTGGTGCGTCAAAAACTGATGCGACGGGTAAACCAGACGCGTCAAGATAAGACACAGAGGGAACCTTGGAAAAGTGACAATATGTGACGAGTTGGGAGTGGGAATGTGTTACCCAAATACAACCTACAAGTGCTGACAGATCATGCTTGATTTTAGTTTAAAATTTTGAGACATCATTATACTTTCAAAATTTTTATTACTCACTCTGTAATAAATGGTAAACAGTACTTTTCTCAATTCTCAATGGCTGTAAGAAATTCGGATTTAGTTTATGAGATCTACACATCGTAGCTGTTTTTAAGCTCAACATTTATTATGCATTCCAGTTTTTATTTTTTATGGAATCCTCTGAAAACACTCGTGGATAAATCTCTGGAGGAACCAGCTGAACACAATCTGTGTTCAAAGATATGATTTTTTCCCCTCTTTTCTGCCATCAAGCTCCACTGCAGTCTCTGATCCAGTACAAACACAATAATAAACCACACAGTTTGTTTTGATTCACTACACTACAGCACCCTGCTAATCCAAATTCTTGACTGCATTAACATTCTGCTGAGAATATTCTGAGTCATGAGCTATTTTCTGTTGTTCAAGTAATGCTGGATAAAAACCACAATGATTGGTCAATTTACATTTTAGCTTTTGTTAGCAATACATTATTAAGAGCCTGGCAACCATTGCAGATTCAAAATATTGAAAGACTATTAAACACTTTGCTAATTTTAAGCCTGAATCAAATATTTTGGATCATTGGAAGAAAAGGAAAACAAAACTGAGGATTCTTGCATCTCTAGATATCCTGCTGCCATAGATACACTTTGTCAAATATAATCTCAAACAACACACAACACAACTTATCACTTAGAATTTATAACTTAAAACTTTTGCACCGTGACTGTTTGAGGTGTTGTTTTCACTCTGTGTTTCTGTATGCATGTCTGTCACTGGCAGCAACTTCAACAATGGTTTTCTTAACACTTTTTATACACTTTGTATGATTTAAAACCAGAGGATTTAGATATTTGAGGTCAAATATTCTGACTTTGAACAGACTGAGTCTCAGGTTTTCACACTGACAGACAGAAATGACCTCACTGGCTGCTCAATTACAAAGTAGTACTGGAGAGAAGGTTTACCTGGTCGGTGCTGGGTGTGTCTGAAATATCATTCATGCTTCGGCTCTGAGCAGAATCTGTTGATAAAACACACACGTATTACTGGAATCAAAGACATGTTACACAAAGTTACACAAAGTGTGCCCATATTCACAGGAAGTATATTAAGCAGACACAACAATCTATTTTAAGTGTTAAAATCATTCAGCAGCTGGAGGTTAATTGAGGTCACAGCTGATTAAATCACTGAATAAAACTGTCAAATTAACAAAGTGAAAGTTGTGAATGTATAATCAGTGTTGTATAAAGTACCTCACAGTGAGTGAAAGTACAAGTACCTTATCACAAAAGTATTTTGGTAAAAGTTGAAGTCCTCTCTAAAAATATTACTTGAGTAAAAGTTTTAAAGTATCTGATATTTTTTGTACTTAAGTATCAAAAGTAAATTTCTGACAC